CGGTTGCCAATGTGAAAGAAGCTAGCCTGGGACGTATCACAGACGACATACATGGGGCTCAATGGGGCCTAAGTGCAGAGATCGTGACTGATTAGTTTTCCTCCAATACAGAATACAGTAATGTCTCTATGGTTGTAGCTTGAGTTGCATTGTCATTGGTGACCACCATGTAAGGAAGTGTGCAAATATCTTGATGCAAGTACATACACTAACAGTAGCGTACTTATAAGCAATCCGTATACATAATCGGTATTCAAAGCCTAACGAACTGACAAGGCGATGTCGAACATCATCGTGCTGTCACCGTATATCATAATCGAACATTTTATGAGAAACCATAGGTGGTCAATACGGGGCAGGTCAAGAAGTGAAATCACAACCCAGAATCCATACATGGCAAAGGTGCGAAGTTTAAATACTAAGGACAGTTGATTCACTGTATCTGAAGCATTGTCACGAACCTTCCCAAGAATCAGACTTTTTTACCGAAGGTCAGCTCCGGCAAAGCTGTCTTTCACCCATTAAGCTAGTGCTTTGCGGTCGAGAGGTATACCAACCGACATTCGAAAGGTTTTTACTTCCTATGACAAAACTGGAAGGAAGTATTATAATCGCGAAAAATTTCGAAATTGAGTTATTACGTTTTTTGGATGTCACTCATGTCCGTCGGTCTATCTTTCTGTCTGCCGGTCTGTCCGCTAATTTTATAACCGCCTATAACTTAAGAAGTACCGCTGGGATTTTGATGAAATGCTCTCGCAAGGGTACCTACTACTATGCCAAGGATGAGGGTTTTGAGAGTCAGTCTACTGGTGGCAGAGTTAGGGGCAAAAGCACGAAAGAAATAAAAATCGCTTAAGCTTCGACTTTGACGTTCCAGAGGCTCACGATCATTTTCGGAATTTTTTTTGTAGGGGTCTTTAGTATTAGTCAAAGACATTTTATCACTAATAAGCTTCTGTTCTATTAAAAGTCCGATGTATAACGTGCTGATAGTTCGAAATGACCTAGCAATCGTTGTCGTTGCGTGCTCGGCGCGGCGCTGCATCGTCGTGGAATGCCGACTGTGTAATGGGTAACAAACACCAACTGGTCTGTGGTGGTGTCGTCACTAACACACTGCTATAGGAGAAATATTTGCAAATATATTTTAGCAATGTTCCGATATTAGGAGTATGACTTTAGCGTTCTCCGATGCTTTTATAAATGATGACTCAACTGTTTTTATGTCTACATATATATTTTTCTGAATTTTATGATACGTGTACCACCCATTTTGCCTAACCCTTAATTTGTGTTACTACGTCTACGACGGTTCCCTCAATATTTCTTCAAGTAGATTGACTCAGTACTTATGACGCGTTGATATACAACAGACACGGACTGACAGACCGACATCAATGAAGAACACAGTCTTGCGTGATGCAGATATCTTTAAGCAATAAAAAACTTATGAGCCGAATTTCTAATATTCATAGTTTCGTACTTCCATCGTTTAGGTAGTGGTAGATTTTGAAAATTGATTCATAGGCGGCGAAAATAAAATCGCTGGAGCATACTGTTACAACGTTTCAGATATTCCTGCTCATTTTCAGAGATTGTTTGGACGAAATGAAAATTGTAGATTGGAAGCAGTATCTTGTAAATGGTTATAAATTGTTGCATATTTAGTGTCAATGATATACCTTCTATTATTAAGAAGCTGCTGATCTCAGTGACACTAAGCGCTCGTAAGATATAATAAGTCAGATATATTTCCCTACATCTGCCATCCAAACAAAAATATGATTTCTTTTTTTTTGGCACTAGGACATTACGTCCCATTAGCCAGATCCAATTGTATATTTTTAATTCTAGACAATCACATGACGCCACGACATCCATGGCTAGCCGGTTGATCAGTGGCACGACACTCTGACCCACCCGGCCATCCCAGTCCCCATCCCGTTTCTTTGAAGCCTACAACAAAGGCGCAGGAAGTATGGAGTAAATCTACTTGACGCCATTTTTGTCCAAGCAATGGAGGAGGAGGGCACCGTAGGAGACGGATCGTCGGCTGTGAAACCTGTCAAGCTGAGTCAAGCAAGTTTGAAAGTAAGCATGTAAGGCTGTTATATTAAAAATATGAGTGATTGATGGCTTTGTTGGTTTAACACAGAAAGTGAGTTTCTCTTATTATGTTTGGTTCTAAGGGTACGCGGGGCGAATCGATCACTACTACACAGACTATTCACGATAACTCGGATATACCTGCCTTTTTTCGAAAGAAACTTGTATCACCTATGAGTGACCCTACTGCTATATGTAGTCTGTATACTTTGCCGAGTCCATATATGGCAATGAGAGGAAAATACGATGCGTATTATATAATTATTCCATTTTTCGTAGTTTGGTGAATGAATTTTAAGCACTATAAGGGCGTGGTTTCAGTAAGAAGCAATTTATCTTGATTACCTATAAAATTTCAATGTGGATATCAATCACTGAAGTCAGGTTTTGAATATCATGAAAATTGGGACAAAGCCATCACATTTAATGGAAACACCTCTAATTTATTGGAATTTGTTTCTGACAATCATAAACAAACAACGATTAACTTGATATTTCGAGAGTTATTTGGTCTAAGGGTTTTTTATGTCAATTGGATATACGAGTACATAACTGCACCTATCAACCAAAATTCATCCAATTAATACGAGTTGACCAAGTTTGATCCAAAGGGACTGCATTTTCAGTTTTATGTAGCTCTGTGAGATACAGCATACTGCTAGGTACATTGAAAAGGAGGAACGTAAAGAACAATAAATCCTGTCCATGTAAAACTTCCATTTTCATCCCAATTGCCTACAAGTGAATGAAACTCTGTATAAAAAGTAATATCTGACAAAAAATTGCTTATCCTTCTGATAAATTATTTTCAGAGACTGGGGTGTTTGACCTAAGGCAACTGTTTAGCATCAGCTAATTCAATTCATGTACAAACACAAAAACAACTTCAATAAAGTTAGTAAGGCTTATAGTACTAGACATAAAGAAAATCAAAATTTAAGAATACAAACTTTTCAAAGAAATGTAAGCTTGCGATGCCACACCTACCCATCATGTAAGATTTATAACTGTTAGCCATATGTATATGGAGAACATATACATAAATACAAACTGAACTTGTTTACTATTAATCGTACAACGTCTGTATCCTCCATACCTCTAGTGTGCTGGTTACAATTTATATGTGCTTACATCTAGCTCTAAGCAAAGATATTATATTAAGACCATAAAAATAAAATCTGCTTGTGCAAATCCAACCACTTTGGATTTAACGGGCTTTACAGGATATTTTCAAAAAATTTCATTGGCTTATAAAGCATGTATATCTGAAACACCAAAATGGATTGTATTAAAGTCACTTATTATGTTTCTGTTTTACGTTTATTATACATGTAATTGTAGTTAGTGGAATAAACGTTATTATTATATTATTGTTAATAATATGGGCTCCTAATTCTCATATTAAATCAAGCAATACTCCATATATAGAATGATTCCGCGACATAAACCGATTTTTCATTTGTGCCCGGACACAAAACATGACTCAAATTCCACTCATCAGAAAGAAAAATGTGTGGCCAACTCGTAGCATAGATCAAACCTGATACAATAGATAGACTTGACGTCATAACTGAGCATTTTATTTGAAAAAAACAGTATCTAACTGTTGCTGTACAAAATTCTTTGGAGACATAAATAAAATTACAGAATAGTTGGTGGTGGCAGTGGGAAGGCCAAAAATAGTCGTCCTACTGCCCAGTAGAGGCCGCGAGAGCACCCTGTTAAATTTACTGGCTTGAATATTTATTTGAGTTTTTTTTTAGAGAACAGGCATTCTGGAATTTTATTTATGTCCTCAAAGGATCTATCATGCATAATTTTGTACAGTAACAGTGGGATACTGTTATTTTCAATAAATTGCAGTCATATCAATCTATGCATTGTATTAGATTTGTGGCACGCTTCGAGTATGACGCAAATACTTATTTTTTATTGGTGTGTTTTATGACTATAGTGGCCGATTTAGTGTCTGAGCGCAAATGAAAGAATATGCTTTTCGAGGTGTGATTTATGACGTATTTCTTGATTGAATATGGGAATTAGAGGCCCATCTTACACATGCCTTATAATTATTCTCTAGTTGGAAAGACCACATTCATTAGATCTATTACTTCGAAGACGCCTATTGATTGAGTTTGTGACCCACACGTTTTAGCGCCCCTGCTTAATAGAATCGGACAGAGCTCTCCTTGGGGTATAGAAATAGACAATCTTAGCGAAGAATTGTTATCAGATTCGTGATAGGGGGTCTAAAAAGGGGGCGCCAGTATTCCGAAAAAAATGTGAGTTATGTCTTGTTGGGTTAATGTGTTTGTTTAATGAATATTGATTAATAATTAAAGAAAAAATAATTAAGAAACCATGTGGGTTTGCTAATGTTTCTTGCAATAGATTTTAGTAGGAATAGGTAATTTTAAGATTTGTTTTCAAGGTAGTAGTGAAGCTCAAGGTACGAAAAGTAAAGAGAGAGGAAGAGAGAACGATGAGAATTGTGATTGAAAATTGGGCAGCAACTAATGATAGGTTGAGAAAAACTGCTTCACTCACACCAGGCATCAGGCAAGACTGAAAAGTGCCACCCTGAAGATAAGCATCAATATTTCATATGTCGTTAGCTGTCGTTTATAAGCGAAACTAGCATATATAAAACAGCCAGTTGAAATCGTAAATCTGTCTAGTTAAAAATTCAGAACACAAAACCGACTCTCCTACACGAATTTTTGCATGCAGTTTGCATTGAGGACAAATACAATGCAGATTTTTTTGTTTTGCATACTTGAAAACAGACAGCGGGTGAGGCAATAGTAATGATGTGGACAGATTGACTCAAGTAACAAAAACTTTATCGTATTTGAAGGAATATTACTTTGGGATTATTGAAATATCTAGAAGAAATGAGAACACTTTATTTGATACTTTGCAAATCAGGAATTAAGTAGCATTTATTAGTTATATTACATCAACATATCCATAAAGTTCAGACTTATACTTATGAGATCGGATATATTTGTATAGGAACCCACTACCTACGAACTAACAAAAACATATAAATATACCACAGAGGCATGACATTATTCGGGTACACACGTCAGGCTCAGTACTGTCAGTATCTTCAGATCTAGTTCTACCTCCTTGACGTCGACAGATGTTCTGACTATTTTGTAAGGTAGATTGTGGACGTTGATTCCAAGATGGACTGTCATCTAGTGAACAGAAACACGATTATTACATTTGAGTTCACTGCATTTTACTGTTATACATCCATTCGTAATTATATCCGTAATTCAGACATCTTTGCGAAACCAGCAAAAAGGAACAAAGGATACCCTAGTTACAAGACTGCATCTCCCCGTTTTCAAGCCCGTATGCCACGACCAGATTTTTGATCATATTCACTGTACAAGAAAGCGGATGAATGCGCATTATCATTACTGGGCACTATTTTGTAATTTCAATTTCTCTCAGCATTAGGATCTGTTTTAAATTTTGCGTGAAAATTGATGTAAAAGCACAGCTTAGACAACAATCAGCTAGGAAACTCTCCTGTTAATGTAAGATCCCCCAGTACAACCATGATAATAGTTTTAGTGGTTAGCAGCAGCTATTGTTGCCACGTACCTTGCCAGTGGCCGTAGATATTATTTGTAATCATATACCTGCTATACCGATATGATCTGATGTAGTGTGTGTGGACCAATAAGTTCGTATTGGTGAGGTATTTACAATAAACAGAAAAATATTTACATTTGCCATGCATTCTTTGCTGCTGCGATATTCTCAATCCATTCCATTTTTAAAGTAAACATTGTTAAAACACCGCAATCAAACCTGACACTTCTGACGACTACTCAGCTAGGATGCTTCTACATACACGGCGAGTTTTTAATGTGAAAACGGGCGATAGTTCCCATATCTTAAATGCTTAGAAAAGTTAGTTATAAAAATTGTAGGTGCCGCTCTCCACAAGATATATAGATATATAGATAGATTCATAATTACAACACATACATTTTTTAAATGAGTTTGTTTAGAATGAGCGAAGAATAAAAAAATATTCGTGCTAAATGGTTCAGTTTTACTGATGAGCAATGTTTTTTAAATCTCTCATTTAAATGTTCATGTGCTCACGTTTTTAACGTGACGAAGACGCCGAAATTCTTGTAACTGAATCAATGCTATATATGTCTGATGTTTTTAGCATTGCTTACATTGAAAATGGATTGATTATATCGCAGCAGCTTACAATACATGGCGAAAGTAAATATTTTTCCGTTTATTGTAAATACTTCCACCATTACAAATTTAATGTATGAAGCTTTTTCATCCGTCGCTTCTTTTTGGACAAACATACTCCTTTCTACTATTGATTTACCAAAAACTACACTAGATCATATCGAAATATTATAATTTTACGATTGCAATGAATTTTTGTGGCCGCTGGCATGATACGTGGCAACACCGGTTGTTGCTGAATACTAAAACCTCGTTCATCGTTGTACTAGGGGAATCACATACGATTTTTTCCGCCAATTTTGACACTGACTGAATAGTTTCACAGCCGATTGTTATCTAAGCTATGGTAAAAATGCGCATCCGAGATCGTTCTATCAACAAAAATTCATAAATCCAACCTCACCACTACCCCACTCTCCCTCCAGCCTATCCTAATTCTATTGTCAACAGAGTCGGCCACAGTACGCTGTTTTTGCATAGAACGATAAAGCACTCCAGATAATAATGACTGATTGATGACATGACAACAGACTCAGGACCGAAATGATGACATGCATCATGTGTGCCTTTGTTTTGTGATTAGTGGAAGTGCGCACGTTCTTGACCAACACTTGGTAACAAAATATTTCATCGTTGCAAACACAGAGAACAGCGAAATTCGTCCAATATTTTCTTGTCCACATTCTTGTCAAATAAATGAGATAAAGGACATGACGTGACATACTGGCATAAATGTGAATAGTTGTAGTCACCGTTCTTGGCCGTTACGTCATCAAAGCCATATGAAATAAGTAAACAGATCGAGTCTCCGTACCATGGGCGGATCTTAATATTCCTAACTGAGGGATTCCGATTCAAAATTATTTTTAATCGTAATTCTCAAAAATCTTCTAATCTAGTACATAAACATGGGTAGAGTATGGCACGCCGTTTTTTATGTTTTTTAAAGTTGAGATAAAAAATACATACAGAATTTAAAATATAATACAAAATAACACATCTATTTGCTAACTTGATGGAACATTTAATATTGGATGTGGATATGTGACAATAATAAAAATGCTCAATTCTTCCTGGAGTAAAATGCGACTAAATAAATTACTGCTGGACGAAAAAATATATTTTGCTAGTGATGCTCTTGAGCTCGAGCTTTTAAATCTATGCCGCCTTAATAAACATCAAGCTTCAAACTTCCACATCTATCGAAAATTTTAACAATCTACATTAATGTGCACTCATACATAATTAGGAATTATAAATTTTCAAAATTGTTCCAATAAAAGTATGAATTATTTTATTTCTCCATCAAAGTCATCTGAACTTTCTCCCAAGTGAATGATTATATCAGTCTCCTCCCTATTAAATGCTTGATGCTTGTTCCAGTCGTTCTTAAGCAAGTCCTCGCTATGTTTCACACACTTGGCCCATAGCCATTTTCCCCAATATGACGATCATAGTACTGTTCGGCTATTTCCCAGACTAACTCAATAGGGTTGTATTGACAATGATAAGGGGGAAGCCGCAAAACTTGATGTCCATGTTAATGTAATATTTCGTCTATGATATATCTTGGAGCCGATGGTTTATTAAGCCGACACAGATTTAAAAACTCGAGTTTAAAAGCGTCATCATCAAAATGTATCTTTTTGTTTTGCAGACATTGTTTCAATTGCATTTTACTCCAACTATAATTGGTCATTTTTTCTGTTAAGGCACTATGATAAGAGGCATTATTCATGGTTACTAAAGGTGGCTCCTGTAACGTTGGTATCAGCTTCTCACATACCCATTTTTTTAAAGAATCTTTGTCCATGGAATCGTGGTAGTCAGCACTTTGTGATTTTGTAGCAAATAAGTATCTCTCAAAAAACTGTTTTTGGTCCCAGCATGGAGAACAACATACCGCTTGCCGGTACCCTGATTTTCGCTTTTCAAACTCTTTACTATCTTGCCAAACTGGTTTAAACGACCCTTTGGTAAAAATCCACGTTTCATCTAAGAAACCCTGAAGAGGGCTTATAGTGTTCAGGTTATTCATATAATAAAATACTGCATCCGTCAACTTTGATTTAACTCTAAGCTCATATGTGCGCAAGACTGGTTGCCTATACGATCGGCTTGATGTAGGAAAAACTTCTTCACGCGCGCTTAAGCTGTGAGCAAATTTGATAAAAAATACTTTTTGGCAGACCAGTGGCGGATTTAAGGAAAAGGGCCTGGCCGACAATATGCACTGGCGGGGCCCAGTGGTATGATCGGGGACAGACGGCAAATAGTGCGGACTATAACTTTTTTGCGAATAACATAAATTACTGCAATTATTGACAAATAAAATACGGCAATGGAAACTTTGAAAGTTGCATGATAACTCAGAAATTAATATCAGAATTTAATGCGTAATGTCATGTTAGTGCAATCGTACATAAGCCTGGTTTTTGCGTTTAATAGTGCGCACGGGCACGGGACAGGTTGTAATGCGCATCGTAATTTTTTGAAGTAAATTAAACTTGATTCACCAGCAAACTTCTTGTGCATAATAGAGTTTAAAAGTTATCACGGATGCTACCGATAAGTAAAGGGCGTCGAGTCAAATTTGGAGTGCACGCTATTTATAGAATTTGCATAAAATTAGGTATAATTAAGAAAAAAAAACAAGTATGATCGATAGTTGTTGTCATGTTTGCCGTGATTAATATTTCATTGAATACAATCTTGGTGAACAACACTAAAATATGTTAAATAACGTGCATTACTACAGGATATACAGGGTGGCGCATCGAAAACTGAAGAGACGCATTTACTGGCAGCTCATTTTTTTTTAAAAACGTTCAGACCCGTCGATTTTGTTTTCGAGGGGGACACAAGTTTGGCAAAAAATCACGTTAGCACGTGCAGCCCCCTAAGCGGGGGTTACACCACCCCCAAAATCTTACATGGAAAGGGGGGTCGAGTGATACCTTATTTTAAAGGTCTTTCAATTTCCTTTATAATGATATACAATTAATGTACTTCAGTTCAGTAGTTTTGAAGATTTATTGATTTAAAGCTTAAATAAAACTAATACATCATTAGTGGAGATCAATACATTTGGCAGGTAATTTAAAAATGAAGAATGAACTGACCCGTTAGGCAAGTAAATGTTGAAAATGGCCACCATGACTCTCCATGCAATAATAAAGATTTTGGTCAAAACGTTGCCGCACATTTTGCAATAATTGAGGAGTAATTTGAAGGCACTCATTCACAATTCTTTGTCGCAGGTCTTCTAATGATGTTGGCTGAGTAGCATAGATTTTGCTTTTTAAATGACCCCACATAAAGAAATCCAAAGGTGATAAATCTGGCGATCTTGGGGGACATTCAATGTCACCTCTTCTACCAATCCATCCATCTGGAAACGTCTGATCTTCGGTTGCATGTGTATGTATGAGGGAGATGGAGATCTATAAGGGACACTGGTAGTCTTACTTTGACCCGCCAAGAATGGTGACTACAACTATAGTAGAAGCATTTCATTTTTAATATGCGCACAAATTTTTAGACACAACAAATTTGAAAATACTGGAAGAGTAATTTGGGTACGTACCATTTACCCTCTGACTCTGATCTGTATGTTGCTTGTCATCGATTTTTACTACATTTTCTTTTATAGATTCATAGTTGAGCGGTGGTGGCTGGTTTCTATAATATTCTTCATCCAATTCACCTGAATCACAACTTGAGCTAGATGCAGCATCCAAACCAGTATGAACTTTGGCCAATTTAGCATATCCAACCCTTGATATTTCACTCTAGAAGAACACCACGGGTGAACTATACTTTAGCGCATATCGCAAATATTTAATTTCTTATTTTAAAAAATTGTATGAATATAACATACACTGTGAATTACTATGACACTGTTCAACACAATAATGCAATTTTGCATTATTTTAATGAGGAAAATAGTTCATTGTTAAGTAGTCATTTCTATTACTTCAGATAAATATTCCCATTACCACCATTACTATCACACTCTCTCCATCTAGTTGCGATGTTGCCAAATCATGGATATTTATATATCTTAATTTGATTTGCCAAATTCTTACTTATATACTGGTGCAAAAATGTGCAATCGGCACAGGATTGTCATAAAAATGCGATTTGGAGGTGTGGCCGGCAGGTTTTACTGTACTAAATCTACCTCGTGCCTTAGGATAGCGTTAGCTAAAGACACTTTTTTGAAGAATGCCTTATACACTTCACAAAAGTACTTCGGTTATTATTGTTCCTATATTATAGTTATAATCTATTTACTTTTTGTATATATGTACTTGGAGAATTATTTAAAGTGAAGCTGATGTCACAAAATATATCTAATTAAATGTGATATATATGAGAAATAACTGAAAAAGCAGCTGTTGCCAATCATTAAATAATGAAAACATAACAAAGAACATTGCAAGTTTTTTGATGATTAGATGAAATGATCGTTGATCTTCATTTAACTATAATGTTGGACGATGATATGTTGGGTGGACATGGCGAGGTAGTCCAAATCGACGAATCGAAGTTGGGACCTTTAAATGCAATGAGCGCTGGTGCCTTTTGTATTTTCTATGTCACACGAGCCGCTGGTGCATTTTCCACTGTTTAGATACATACTGTTTAAAATTTGATCTAGTTTTCAGTAACTTCTCATAAAACAAGCCATTTGTAATAAATTTAGACTTTTATTTTGCAAATAACCCCGTTTTTATTACGTATTTCTCCCAAAAAAGGGACAGCTTGGCAACAATGGACGTCATTTATCTTATCTGTCAAGAAATGAACGTCATAAAATGCCCATTGAGAATTGTTTGTACTTTGAAATATTTCTTATAAACACAAAAACGTTGATCTCATTAAAAATACGCGAAAAAAATTGTTAAGGACTTTCAAGAAGACATTGAAAAATCACAACACAACACCTCTACACAGTTTACCAAGTAAATACCATCATTTACGTATGTTATTTTACCTAATAAGCTAATGTGTAATAACCCGGCTGGTTTTGAACCTTTTTGCAAAAAACAACGATTTTTTACAGTTTCACATCTATTTTTCTTAGTACTATACAGTGTATGTTATATTCTTATAATTTAGAGCATCCTTTTCTGCAAAAAGTATTCTATTCTAGAGTATTACCACTAAAAATGCAACTGAAGCTCTATAAAATAGCAAGCAGAGGGTTCCTTAAAGAAAAATTGATATGTTCGTAAAAGTTACATCCTAATCCTTCATTTTAAAGTAAGAAATAAAGTATTTGCGATATGCGCGAAAGTATTGCCTTAAAGAGATATATCTAACAAAAATATTAAATAATTTTTTGAAACATATGCAATTTAAATATTTTCTTATTTATATACATAACATTGTATCACTATTGAATTGATACCAACGTACTCTTTACTACAGGAATCGGATTAGATATGAGTTGGCAACACTGTTTCTTATGTTTTGCTTATAATGGTTAAAAGCTTACATTATACTAGGACTAGGTAGGTACTAGAATAATTGTGCTTAGTGGTTTTTGTGAGGTTAGGAACATATGACTTAACTTCTTAATTATGACTGAGGTACCAATGAATTGACCATTAAAATTTGTTAAGTGAAATATCAATGCACCACAATTATATTATAGGACTTATTCAATTATCATATTCTCATACCTGTATCTCAGCTTCCATATTATCCACACGATCCATGTCTACTGAACCCACAACTGTATTTCACTCAATTCAAACAACTAAACGTAATGCCTATTTCAATGTTTCTTGTTAACATCGACCACTTCTTGAACAAGCCAGTTCCCATAGATCATAACACAAGATGTTTACACCTAAAGCACGTATTTGCAGATATTCTTATAAAATATAAATAATGGGAATGTGACCTTTATGAGTATAGCATTTAGGGCTCAAATTACTATTACCGCTACAATAATGCCTGCAATCTACCCGCTTGAGCGTACCACGGCGAAGGATACACGTGGTACAAATACAACAGGCCGCTGTGCAGGGTTGTCAAGCGTTTGAAGATCGCCTCATCCTTACGAAATTTCGCGAACTTTACATTGCATTGATCAGATCTAACAAGGCGTAGAAGCGCTCCTCAACTAACACAATTATTTATATCTTAGAGACATTTTAAAAACGTCGTTTTTAGATATTAGAGACGACGTAAGGATGTCTTGTGCACGCTGTACAACATCGTAAAGACGATGTGTATTAAGAAAACTGAGCGTCTTAAAGACTAAAGGTCTTCAGTGCGGCATTATAAACATAATAGAAAACAGTCGGATAATTAAAAAGTATATTTAATCAAAATGATGTTTTAAAAACAAATATAATTCTTCGACCGACAAACTTTTTTGTGTGTCTGTTTGGGGATCCGAAGCTCGCCTTATCTAAGTTCCAATTACTAACTCCACCTCGTGATAGCTTTGACTTACCAGGCCTGTTAACAGACAATGAAATAAGTAAGCACATTCTGTTACACAAACTTTTTTAATTTTGTAATCCAAAGTTTGTTTGTTACGTTGCTGTTGTTGGACCAGACCAGTATACGGTTTCACTTGAGACTGCACTCTATATTGACACAAATTAATAAAAAAAATCTCGGTGGTTGAAAGTTGAAATCACCTGGCTGATGGATTGTAGGTATTCGCGAAAATAGTTGTAGTTGTGCAAGTTCTATATTCTTGAAAGACTACGTCAGTATTTTGTTCAAATTAGTTTACATTCAAGGCCTATACTTACCTTTAAATACAGAGAACATTTTTTCCAATATCTGATCTCAATAAACGCACGGGGGAAAAGACAACCGAAATGTACAGTACTTTCTCCCAAGAAAAACAACTGGGAAACACAAAGTCGCCAAGATACTTCCAGCACCTTGTCGGATTAACAAATGACAGAGCTGGAGATGTTGCAGAGATAAATATAGGGACGTGCTCCCCTTAAACGACGCACCGTCATCTGGTGGCCTATTAATGAGTTAAAATAGAATGTTTGCTATTGACGATTAAAATCAAATCCAAGCGAATAACCAAAATTTCTGTATTATGTACCGCGGTTATAATATGGTTTAAGATGACACACGGGTTGATGACGTCAGTCACTCGAATCGCTTGAACGCGTTGGTTTTAACCGCGGTTTTGTTGCAAGTTGTTTATTTTAGAAAAGCGCGTATATAATTTTAGATTATTTTTGTTATCACTTAATAATCGGTGCTTTTTCGTCTAGAACAGTGTATGGAAGGTTTATAAAATAAACCTTTCATAGTATTAATTGGGAGAATGTTTTTTTTTCAGAAAAATTTAATGATGGGACAATGGCTTTGTAGCTATGGTAACCTTCAATTCTTTAAACTTGTCCGCATGTTAAAGAAAACATTTATTGATTTAGCAGAAATGATAGGAAAAAGAGATGAAAAAATATATTAGCAAAACCGAATACAGGTGGACATTATCCAGTGAGTTTATATGGCCATATTTTAATATTCTTGTGGTATATGACTACACATGCTACTTTGTTATGAACTAGATTTAAAGTGTCCCCAACAACAGTAATGAGTATATCTAATAAGGTGCTCTACTTTATGCTACAACTGAAGTCAGCCTGTATCAAGTTTCTCAAAAATGAAGCTGAAGTACAACAAAAATATCCAACACCCGCCAAAATTCCAACTTGTCACATTTCAAATCATAACCAGAAATATAAAACTACTCCGCAGTTGGGTAAATACCACAATTTTACGGTGATAACTATGACATATAACAGCTGATCCATGACGTCACGGATTTTATAACCAAAGTGATAACCACACTGGCTTGAACGGATCGGTAAATACCAATCCAAAATGGTAAGTACCATTTTCATTTGGTTATTCACTTAAATTTGATTTAAATGATTCAAAAATTCCAGGAAAAGACAATGATGTCTAAAAAATACAAATATTTAAAAACTTCAATTTTGCATAGTTTAAAATACTGAAATTGCATTAAAAATATAAAAAGTGAAAAACAAATCGGATATATCTTCAATTGAAGTTGGTAAACAAAAAAATACGTTTTCCTCTAATGTTTAGCTGGGTGCTCAGCAGTTGGATTCCTCTAAGTTCACTGTGTCTAAGTTTATAAAAATTTGAATTCCAAAAATCGCACGTTTTCTGGAAGACATAAAACATATCTCGAAGATGTTTGTTCTTGGTTTTGTCGGGATATTCCTAAAATGCCGCACGAAGGTTATCTTGAAAACCTCTTCCTAATGTCTCATGCTTTCAGACATTATTAGTGCATAAAATGAATATCTATAGGACCTTCTGTGCTATCTGCGTTCCGTTATTTTCGTCGTATGAGCCAAAGATGCATTAGGCCTTGGTGAACTATTTCTAGATGACAGTAGTCAGTATTGTCACTTTTTTAAGGCAGTATTGCTTTACAAACCCACTTTTGAAAATAATCTTGTAATATTGTGTCCCTTCACCTGTCCAATGCAACCACATGCAAATTTCTGTTTTCTAATTCTCTGTCGCTCTCCACCAACTCTTGAAACAGTATGTGTTATAGATCAAAGATTTACGGCAAAATAAGATGCCATATATTACATATTCACACAATCTCACTAGTCTAGGTCAGTCAGTTTACCATATTTATACAAGGAAATCTTGTTATGAGACGTGATAAATAATAATAATAAGCTCATAAAATAAGCATTCTTCATAAATTATGATAAGTTATGAAGAAACGAGATATCGCACATAAAAATTTTATATGCTCGGTACATGTCTTTTCCTTCCTTGGCTCTTACGAGAACCTTCACTGGATATGTCTGATAAGCACCCTTTTGTCGTTCCTCTTCTTAGCTTCAATATGTGCTATCACCACAGTTATACAGTTAACAGATTCAGTTCATTAGTATTACCAATATTCTTTTATTTTGGTCTAGTTGAAGAGGAGATATTATATCACAAATCAGTATATCACCTAGACCTGTATGAGACGACTTTCTATACTTTCTCCTTATGTAAGGTGTTCAAGATATGACCTGTGAATTCACCTTTGTATCAAGATACTATCATAAATATGCAATAACATGAATTATGTATAGCTTACGCATTCATTCATCTATCAGACACCACAGCCCTATCGAACGTAATCACACAGTGAATATGTATAAAAAATTGTAATCTAGAAGAAGAATTTCTCGAATAGTGATTGCATTTGAGATTAGTTTTGTTATTGTTTTTAAATTAGTGCCCACTAGCCTAGCATACACCGGTAACTCCTGTTTATTACATTGCGAGTGAGGATTATTGAAATGTTCTGTTGACTCTCGAAAAAATCAAGCAGACAGATTTGAAGAAACAATAACTATTCTTGGTAACAAATATTTCTTTATTGTACAAAAACATGATTTTTCATTACTTTACACTAAATGATATTATTTTATCAGTAAGTAAGTACGTGTTTTACAATATCCCATGATGTTGATATTTGAATTATCATGAACAGTCACAATATACAGAGCTTATAGATCTTCTCATACGTAGTTGAGCGAAAATTCAGATATCTCAACCTCTGACACAAATTCAGTTACATTTTATATAAACATACGACTCTGGATCTTCATTATTATAATTATTTCAAGTGTTTCAGGTATTCTGCGGGACAAGTATCCTTGGAGGGTCAAATAGGTCTTCCGTTATGATACTAACTGGTGAGGCGAATATGACAGGTTCTCTGAAGTCTCTAGGGTACTGCAGGTGTCCAGTGCCACCATGAGGTTGGTCTGTCATCAAATAAAAAAATGGTGTTTAGCTTACGTCGCGAAACTCATCGAAGCTCAACTTCTGTTTCAGTAGCCTTGAGATAGTGTCAAAGTCCAGAAAAATGCAGAATTCAGTTCATTGACTTTCGTTGAAGAGGAGCTAAATATAGTATCAAACCAGCGTACAGAAACGAAACAACTTTTCTGTTAGAATAGCAAGCATTTGTAGATGTAAAAAACACTTACCTCCCCTGTATTTTATAGATTCGACGAATGCCTTGAAACCAGATGGTCCATCTACTTGGTACCTCACGAACCTCACATTGCCATCAGGTTGCAGGAATGTGTATGTTCCTGTCACTTTGTCGCCTTTTCGTTCTTCTGAGTGTAGAGATATGATATCAGTAGTGTTAATCAGATATTGGAAGGAGTACGAACCCTAAAAAGTAATGGAGGTAATGAAATTAATGAGCACCCAATAAGATAGGATGAACTTGGTAGCCCTGGCAGATTGGTTGAAGAAATTACATATCGAGAATTCTGGCACTAAGTAGAAACATATATTTCAGTTCTAGGACAACATCTCTGGACAACGAGCGAAAGCATAGCAACTATCCTTTATCCAAGAGGAACGGCATATGGAAATAAGAGAGCGCAAAGCGCCACCTATCGTCAGAATCGAACAGTATGTAACAGTGTATATAGCCACTACTGTGAAGATCTACGTCTACAATGGTAGCGCAGTCACCAATATGACCGAAAGATGGATGACGATTGTAGCTGTCTTGTAGATTCTATATGTTCGGTCCAGTGGCGGCGAAGATAAGGGTAGAAAGTAAAAATCGCCTAAGCTTTGATTTTTCACGTTTAGGAGGATCCTGATCGTTTTCAGAAAAATGCTAGCAGTTTAAACATATGCAGCCCCGGTAGTTTTACGTACCTTTACACATATTTCATAGATCATATGTACGAGGGATGTCTTTTAAGTTTTGCATATGGAAATAAAACAACACGGTAGGTACTTTTAAATGACTTTATTGTTTTTCGAAGTATTCTCCACGAAGATTAATACACATCTGCATGCGCTCGAACCAATTTCCGAAGCACTTATTCCACTCGTTTGCTGGCAGATCCAAAACGGCATTTTTGAATGCGTCAACTGCTTCTTCTGGTGACTGGAACCTTTGACCACGCAGTCTGTTTTTAATTTTCGGGAAAGTAAAGAAATTGTTAGGACTTAGATCAGGACTATATGGAGGATGGTCCAATAATTCCATGCTTTCTTCCGTTAAATACTGCCTTGTTTTTTGGGCTGTGTGCGAGCTTGCATCGTCTTGGTGGAGGATGATTCTTCTTTCGGGGTTGATTTTTCGAAGCTCGGTGATGACTTTTGGCAAACAAATGGTGGTATACCAATCCCCAGTAACAGTTCTTTGCTCATTATGATATGACCCGCTTTTGACACAAATGTCGCGAACGTCTTTTTCGAAAAACTTCGAGAACGGATGACTTTTGTTGGCTTTTCTTCACCTTGGAACACCCAAACAGCCGACTGTCTTTTATTTTCTGGTTCATAACAGTAAATCCACGAATCATCACCACTAACAATGCTGTACACATTTTTTGAGTTTCCGGAATTGAAACGGCCAAGCGTTTTTTGACAACCAATTCACCCTGGCTGCTTTCTGCTCTTCATTCAACCAATTTTATTACTCCTAATTCTTCATGTAAAATTTTTTGAATTGAGGTCTTTGAGATCTCCAAGGACGCCTCAATCTCGCGATATGTCACATGTCTATCTTCAATGATGAGTTTGCACACAGCATCGACGTTTTCCTGGGTGACTGCCGATTTTGGTGCACCCACCCTGGAATCGTCGCTAACACTCACCCGACTACGTTTGAATTCTCCATACCAACGGGAAATTGTCGACTGATGTGGCGCTTCGTTGCCGAAAACAGACAGTAACTCAGCAAGGCATTCTTGTTGTGATAATTGTCTCTGAATGTTGTAATAAATTATGGCGCGAAAATGTTCTCGGTTGAGTTCCATTTTTCTAATGACTTGGTGACACTTAAAAATTCACTATAGTGAGAAAACTGCACGTATTGTTGTGAAACTTTGAATTTAAGTTTACTAAAGAGTGAGGTTGTTTCAGTACTATCGTTTGATCCGCGCGGCCTATTATGTTTCTATATGCAAAACTTAAAAGACATCCCTCGTACATATTTGACTGATGGGCTAAAATTCATTTTTGATAAACATGCACCTCTAAGAATTGTACGTGTAAATAAACCGCATGTACCCTGGCTATCATCTTAGCTTAAACGTATGAAAGACAGACAGAGCTTTCAGTCGGTTAAAAATTAATAAAACAGAAGACTCCCGGAATCGCTACAAAGAGCTCAGAAATTCAACTTGTCAAATTAGGTATGAAAAAGCAGCATATTTATTATCCTCCCGTCAACAAAATGACTTAAAAATGTTTTAGAACAATTAAAATCAATGTGTATCCAACAGTCACAAAATACAGATATCACTCTACATTTAAAGGACCCTAATCAAATTAATGATTATTTCTGTTCTCTTGCTGCTTTGGGGAGTGATGGTATATTACTCTGAATGCTAGAACTATGTTTTTGTGATTTCACATTTATGATTATCTCTCTAAACATAAAAGAATGCGGTTATCAAAAATGATATAACACTGCAGGTGCCCGTCTAGATTTAACCGATAACATTGTTAGAGCCTGGGACCAACAGATGATATCATCAGTTCTTCTTCTTTTCTAAGGCATTCGATGCCATAAGTCATCGCCATATTTTGGTTTTACTGATTACTCCTCAAATATGATTCAGAGCTTTTTGAGAAATCAATCTTAAAGATATAAGTGCCCCATTTCCTCCGGAGTGCCCTAAGGGTTTGTAATTGGTCCACTCCTATTCATCTTGTATATTTCTGATCTTCATGCAGCTATTACATATTGTAATATCCAATTCTTTGCGGACGAATCACAGATCTGCAGTCATTTCCATAATCACAACATTCAAAGGGTTGAATCTGAGGTCAATGAAGATATAAAATCTATTAGAAACTGTTTAGAAGCGATGCCAAAAGAAATTTTAAAGTAAACTTAAATGGTGAGACTATAGAAGTGAATGAGTCAGCGAAAAACTTGGGTGTAACTTTAGTTGACCGTCTAAATTTTATACTACATGAAAAAAATATCAGTAAGATATGTTTTCCATTTTACGTTAATTATATCTTAATGAACAATTTCATGACTATACAACTAAAAAAAATTATGTGAATATGACAGAGTACCATTAGACTAGACTTCGTCCCCTAAATCAAGAGGATTTATTATTATTTTCCCTTAAAACTTGATGGTAGGGGTATGTTTTCTATACAGGGTGATTCACAAGTCGTGACAAAAAATGAAACATCATACACAGGACCGAATTTTAAGAGGGTCTTATATTTAACATTTGCCTCGAGGGCTTCATTAAAAAGAGAAATTTGAAAATGAAATATTTTTTTAACATCTTCAAAACCGTCAACTGGAATGAAATAAAATTTGGTGTGTGGATTTACCTAAATATTGTCCACATTCAAAAGTCTACTTGAAGTTAACGTGCACCAGTGGCGGAGTTACAGGAGATTGGTGGCATTATTTTTCCCAAAATAGTACGTCACTGTCTTCTTTTTCGAAACGAGCAATTGTTCGAATTTTACCTGTTCGTAGAAATAAAAATAAAACAAATTAGATCATTCATGAAGAGCCAAGATACAAATAGCTTCAAAATAAAATAGGAGGCCTTGGTACCAACTTGACGTTTCTTGAGAGATACTTTGTCAAAGTTTTGTGTTATACGTTTTTCAAGTCGCAAGTTCCTTTTTTCCATTTTTGAGCGTTGTAAAATGGACTTTAGCAATTATGAGTACGCCGATATTATTTTTGTGTACGGGTTCTGTAATGGAAATGCTTTAGCGGTTTCTCGGGAGTATCAACGTAGATTTCCTAACAGACGGCAACCTACCCCAAAGGTTTTTACGCCTTCATTTCTAAGACTTCGGCAATCTGGAATTGCCAAACTTCCCGGAGCTAGAGGCCATAGTGTCTGGCATACTGTTCAAGAGGAACTGGAAGTGATTGATTTGGCGTTGGATGATCCTAGTACAAGTAATAATAGTAATAATAATAATAATATGTCTTTATTTTTTAGTTAAAAGAATAACAAGGAAAAAAACTCATTTGATAAGGGAGGCGGCATTGAACATAGTTACTGTTCCATGCAACCCCCGGAAATAATACTAAACTAACAATTAGAAAAAAATGATGGGTGTAATTAATACAACAAAAATGAAAGTATTGTGCACTTTTCTCATAGGATTTGACTCTATTTCGGAAGCTGCTAAGTGAGATCGAATTTTTTACTGTATCTGGAAATGAATTGTATATTGTAGATGCAACATAGGTAAATGACTTTTTAAACTGTTTAGTACTATATAACGGAACATCATAGAGATTAGAAGAACGAGTTTCCCTATCATGAAGATCCGATCTCTTAACAAGTTTGGTATAGAAGTAAAGTGGTAGCTGGGTTTTGTTAATATTGTTAAGCATGCAAGATGTATCAAAAAGCGCTCATCCATGTTGAACCAGTACTAGGCGGATTACAGCCCTGTTACCATGTTCCCAAAGTCTTGCGTGGATACTTTTAAATCGGGAAGTTTTACATCCTTACTGTCGGCAAAATGCGAAATGCATAATCAAAATGCTGATTTTATTGATTTGGTTTTGTGGTCACCTGAATGGCTTTTTACGAGGAGTGGAACCTTTTATTCTCATAATGAACATATTTGGTAGAAAATTCCCGTTCTGTAAGAATCCACTCGTTTTGACACAGATTTTCTAGAAATGTCTGGGTGGAATTTCCAATGGACAACTGTTTATGCACGTGTTGCCATAACGTTTAAATGCTAACTCATTCTTAGTTTTTCTAGAGAATTACATAGAAAATATGTTAGATGATGTTCCGTTAGCAACGAGAGTACGAATATGGTATCAGCACGACGCGACGCGACGGTGCCCCACCGCATGTTTGTCGTGACATAACCGCATGGTTAAATAATCATTTTAGACAACGATGGATTGGCAGAAACAGACCTGTACATTGGCCTGCGAGGTCCTCTGATTTGAACGCCCTGGATTTCTTTTTGTGGGGCGCTTTTGAACAACCAGTGTATCCTGAACAAGTTAATACTGTTTATCAGTTACAAGACAACAGATGCGTTTCATCAAATTCAAGCCACAACAAATAATGCGGAAATACGTAAAATTTGTCGCACTTGTATCCGTCAGAATGGTGGTCTTTTTGAACATTTATTGAAATAAAGCTTTGATTATCTAATTCGTTTTTTTTTACGAAAACAATGCACTCTAGGAAAAAACACAAGAGTAATTATTTGTAGAAAATTGAAAATACAATTCGAAAAATTGCGGGTTTCGAAAAAAAACAGTGGCGTAATATTTTTATTTGGGTAAATAATGCCACTAATCCCCTGTACCTCCGCCACTGATGCACGTTAATTTTAAGTAAAGATTTTTGAATCTGGACAATACTTAGGTAAATTCACATACCAAATTTTAGTTCATTCTAGTTGACCGTTTTAAGGATATTAAATATTTTTATTTTTAAACTTCAACTTTCAACTTCAAAAAATATTACATAGAAAACCCCCCTTAAAATGCGGTCCTGAGCATGATGTTTCATTTTTGGTAACGACTTATGAAACCCCCTGTAGAATCATTTATGGATTGATGACAGTGTTGCGTAGGAAGTGCGGGGTCAACCTACTTTACGCTGTTTTTTTGATCAACCTCCTCTAATGAAATGCTTACCTGTTCTAAGGCATTGCAACATTTGAAGTGTCCGTTGAGAAAAGTGACAAAAATGAGGGTTATCTAAAAACAAAAGAAACTTAGTTTATAAAATGATTTATATGCATGACGAAATGTGTACTCAATGGGCGTAAACAAGGTTTTCTTTTTGTAGGTTTAGACCCCAAGGATACACTCATGTGGTCATTTGTACTAAAAGGAATTTAAAATAGAGAACAAATACAAGCTGTCCTTGCTTCTTATCTTCCTTGGTAAATTTAGGGCTGTCCTTTTAAGGAACAGCCACGTTTGAAATAACAAGGCTAATGTGCGTTGAAGCAATAGCGACAAAGTGAAAAATGAACGAAGCACTTACAGCTCGTTTAATAAAAAATTTTAAGCACCGCCCTCCCATATGTTCACATTCAACTATCTCGTCTACAGTGTCTACCTCAAAGTTTCGATACACAGTCTTTGCATCAGATAAACAAGCCTATTCAGATGGGGATGGAAATATCTAGGGTAATGGTTCCTTTCACTTTCACATTATGACATTGAAGATTTTATGGAACCTAATAACTCAGTTATCCTAGGACTTTTGGGTATTTTAAGAACACGCTATATATCTATAACAAGCCCCTACTAATGAAATACATGTCTATCAAACAATCTAGAAACAACCATGTAGTCTTCATAAATCTTTTAATTAAGTTGCATGCTGGTAGAAAAACGCACAAAAATAATTAAATATCAGTAATGCATTAGTACGGTTATTAAACGCTTTAATAGAAGGTAATCATCTAATAGGTAATTCGCTCCACCCCACGGAACTTACATAGTTGACCTTTCCATTGAGACGGCTTCGTCTGGCTAGTAATCTTCTGTGTAAGCGCCTATTACTTTTTATAGTTAGATATTGTGATGACCTTCCTTGTACTGTGACAACGGCATTTAGTATAATTGCTTGTAAAAAATTTTGTTTTCGTTATTAAGAATACAGTATAATTTACGGTGAAATAAATGTATGTTCATTATTTACGTTTTCCCATGCCAGGTATGAAATATTTGGGAAATTATAAGCTACTATCTAGAAACACATGAAGTTTGAGAATATAAATAATGTTGAAATTTTGATCTACTTTGAATTCTTTACAATTTGTTATGGAAAAATAAAATTTTGTTGTAATTAGTAATCGGAAAGTTTGCTCAAAAGGGAGCATGATAGTCATACTAAAAAAAGCAAAAAGAAAATAAGAGTAGGCATTAATAGCTATAAAAATGCTGAATCTGAAATAGCCAAAGCTCTGTATAAATTACAAAGAAACAGAAGATTCTGCAAAGCGAAGTATCTTCCTCAATGGAAGGCGGGGGAAGGCAGAAGATGAAAAGCATTATAATTTATAGGAAAGTAATCAAAATTGCTTGTACATCTGGTAAATCTTTAATTATTTTATATTTAATTAGAGGTAGTTAAGAAACAAAAACGAACTCCATTGAAATTGTATAATCTGCAAATGCATGCTAAAACATCTATCTAGATGTAGACTCTTCTATTTGATCGATTGACCGTACGAACATCTCTTGAAAGCATAACTCATTTAATGCCATTCTCTTGGATGTCCTCACTATTTACAAAATGAAGTCCATAGATTTAAACCGTGTCATTGACGAGTATTGTTATGGCAATAATTTGTTAAATTCTCTGTTTCAGATAATAAAGTGCTCCAAAATCAGGTCAGAAAACCACAACTGGTTTAATTTGCTTTCAATTATATTTTTGGTATGTAAATTGTGGATCAACTTACTTTTTCTTTCATTTATATTGAGGTTGATTTGCTTGAGGACCACTGGTGTTGCATACATCCCATATTGCGTCAAGCAAGAATCAAGTTATTCAATTGTCTGTCTCATTTGTTCGATGTCTTGTATATGATTATACAGGGTGCGGCAGAGAGGATGGACAGTTTTAAAAAAATCATAAAATAGTTAATTTTTACTCGCAAACAAATTTATTGATGGAATGAGGTTCACAAGGAAATAGCATTTGAGACAGTCAAGAGTGGAAAATCACATCAGGCATGTGGTGGCCGAAATCGTTAATGCAGTGCTGGAGGCGTTCTTGGAAGTTCGCGTAGACCCTCTCCAACATCGCTCTCTCAACTTGAGCGACTTCCACGCGAATTTCGCCCTTCAATTCGTCCAGAGTTCGGGGCCTGTTCACGTATACTCTAGCCTTGAGGTGTCCCCATAAGAAAAAATCGCATATGGATAAATCTGGGGACCGAGGAGGCCAATGAACATCGCCAAACCTGGAAATAAGGCGACCAGGGAAGAGACGGCGAATAACGTCCATGGATGCTCGGGCTGTGTGGGCGGTCGCCCCATCCTGCTGGAACCACACACGTCGGATTGGAACACGTCGCCGTCGTAATTCAGGGAGAAATAAGTTGGTGATCATGTCGACGTAGCGCTCTGAGTTCACGGTAACATCACGACCATTACCGTCTTCGAAGAAGTAAGGGCCAATGATGCAAGTTTGCGATACAGCGTTACTTTTGGGCTGTGCAGCGGTCTTTCGTGTAACTGTTGCGGATTTTCATTAGCCCAATAATGACAATTCTGCTAGTTAACCATGCTGTTTAGGTAAAAGTGGGCTTCGTCACTCATAAACAAAATGTTCTCATTTTGATCGATCAGTGCTTCCATCTCACGTGCGAAGTTCATTCGTTGTGCATAATCTCCGGGCTGTAACTGTTTCACAATGGCCAATTTGTAGGCGTAAAAGCGGAGATCCATATGCAAAATTCGCCTTACCGAACGATCACTAAGGCGAGGTGCAGCAGCATGTTTCCGGGCAGATCGAGTCGGACTGCGAAGAAAGACCTGTCGAACGCGAACATTTTCAGGAGTTCGAACTGTTCGCGGCGCTCCTCTTGGTCTTCTGTTGATCAGTTCACCACGCCTGCGAAGTGATTCAACCCAACGAAGGATGGTATTTCGAGAGAGAACAGCTTTATTCCGATGAATGTTGAAGTGGCGACGAAACTCACGCTGTACGACGATGACTGACTCATTATTCCGGACGAAACAATCATAGGCGAAAACGCAGTGCTCTACCCTTCAAGGCTCCATAAGGACAACTGGCAAAATAATGCTACGATCTCACGAGTCAAACAGCACCCTCCCACCTCTCTCGTAGACGGAGGCGGAGAGTACTACCCATCCCAAAAACCTCCGTCCTCTCTGCCGCATCCTGTACAAATATCCAAATGGGATAGCTAACGACGCTTTTTCAAAATGTTCACAACTATTTTCTAGAAGCTTGTTAGTAAGAAAAAGAAATGCTTGTGAACGGTTATAAACTTTTCCCAATAATCTCATGAGATTCGGAGTGATATTCTGACATTTGAACTAAACTGTTGCTTAAACACCCATGTTAATTTTGAGAGATTGACATAAAAGTTCAAAATAACTACGATTCATAACCTTAATATTATATGTAAGTCATAATATAAGAGCTAATACGGAATAGGGATACAACATGCACCTTTATGTACTTGTACACATAATTATTTCTATTGTTAACTCATACCCATGCGAAAATAGGAAAAACGTATATTTCCATATAAGTTTGGACTTTTATAGAATCTTAAAGGATACATGACTTACACAAAAGATTATCTGGGACAATGACAGCAAGACTACACAAGAAATCCATAAATAAGCGTTTACTTATTCAGGATTTCCAAGAATGGCTATTGTTTCCTACATTGTAAGTACGAGTATATAAATAGCAGACAATGGTGTGATGATTTTTCGATGAATAATAAATTCTTCTAGGTAAATATGATTACCTTTCTTTTGACAGAATATATAGGTTTTCTTGTTACACAATATTATGACTTGCTATGAGTCTTATTCTTATTTGTGGAGAATTCAAACTCGAAAAGAGGTTGTAATTGGGGTTGGACAATATCAGATATGTTTGAGCAACGACTAGTAAAAAAAAATCTGTTATGTCGCTTTGGTTATAAAAATTCTTTGAGCTACTTTGAAGGAATGGCGTTTTCACTGATTTAATGTAATTTAAAATAAGAAAAAAACTTCATGACTTACCAAATAAACGCGGTAAATTGGAGAGAAAATGTCACGGTATCTACGATGCACATTCATAGCAGAGCAGAATAGACGGATTATAATAGTTAAAACGTTCAAGATACAACAGACGCTGATCAATAGATGCTGGCTGCAATGAGTGAGATAGAGAGAAGGGATGTGAATGCAGTTATGTTTGTGCAATACCGTCACCCTGAGACAGTTTTAGATGTCATCCACCTACTCGAATGGCATCGAAGGCGTTTTCTTCATTGGCGGAGAACAAAACTGGTCTCAGGATAGTAAAAATTAGTTTGTCTACTGACGTTTTGTGTAGCATTTTCTTACGTATTTTCCTTCAACATAGCCAACCATGTATTCTGGCGTCCAAAGAAGAGATCTGAAATATATTAGCGCAATCTGCGAGACAGTAAAAAAACACAAAATAAATTTGGAAATCTACTTTGAAGAGAGGGTCTTTAGTTCTACTACTGCCTCATAGGTTACGCAATCCCTTTTTGTCCCTCCGATGCATATTTTAATTCAGGGATTGAATCATTCAACCCTTTTTCTGCAATTAAAATAGACATTAGAGTGGCTAAAAGGGAAATGATGATCATCCACATCTGAGACAGTAGCAGAAACAAACACTACTAACCCTTTTCAAATTTGGTTTTTGAATTCATTTTTATTTTATGTTACTGTCTCATAGATGGTGCTTTCAATTCATTTTTAGGACATTATATGGTTGGCCAAGAACACCTTCATCAATTATAATTACGATGCAATAATTGTAATTTTTCTTCTACAATGACTGACACACACCAGTGCATAATGGAATTGCTTTTATACTCTTGAAGGCGTATACAAAACGTTGGCAAAATTCAATGGGTAGTTTTTTTGGTCTACTCTAAGTCCACAAAGAGTTCTAGGACACTAGTTGTAAATAAAATACAATTTCCTCGGTTGTTACATTGATAAAAATGAGAAACATCACGGCGCCCAGGACTAAACCTTGAGGTACACTATGCCTGATCAATATTTCATTGGGTGTATTGGATCCAGTTTTAACAATTTGTGATCGATTACTCAAGTAAGATTGCACTAAAGAACATAAGTTTGAGGTGAAATTGTGTACTTTAAGCTTTCTGAGCAGGATAACGTGCTAGGCACAGTCGAACTCCTTACTGAAGTCGCAGAACATGGCATGCAAATATGTTTTGCCTCCGAAAACTTATGACTTTCACTAATCTCAATACAGCCAGAGTAGAATTTTTCTGTTTTCAAAAGCTAATTTGATTTAAAAACAACAAATCATTCACTTCAAAATAAGATATTATCTGTGCTACAAGGCATTTTCCAAAAATCTTACTAAAAATGGGTGGTAATGATATCGGTCGGTAATTAGTTCTTCTGTGTCGTCTTCTTTGTGACAGAATAACGACTGCTTGTTTCAAGCAGTCCGGAAACATGTTATTGCCAACGCACATGTTTCTAAACTTTTTCAAGGGCTTAACAATCAAGCGTCTAATTTTTTGATCAACATACTGCTCATCATATCATAGATATTTTTAGAACTTTTGTACCAACGAATTTATACATTCTCTAACTATATTAAATGATACTGTTTTGAAGTTAAATAGCCGAGATGTCGAGGTTCTTACATTCAATTCAGTGTACAAAAAACTATTAAGCAGTGTCAGATATAAAGTTGTCCAACCCTCAGAGGAGACAACAACTAAGCAGCTTCAAGAATTGATTTTTGTTTTTGATAGTATTTCCGGAATGTTTCTAAAAGAACAGGCAGGCTCGACGCCACTGGCTAAGCTGAGCTCGTCCCGCCTTGACTTGCGAAATCCTCTCGACATTGGATTTCTGCTCATGTACGTTCCATTCAAATGATAAATCTGCGAGGATCGTACAATAATTTTGATTAATTAATATAATTAAAATTCAATAAAATTTAGTGAGTCGATGCTTGGCTAGAAAAAGGTTTATTAGTTATGAACGATTGATATTTAGGTATAAGCAAAGGTTAAATTGATCAGTCACGGAACATTATGAACCACTCAGGTTGCAAATTGTTCATGAAATTATTTCTGAAGGAGATCATAGAGAGGAATACTTCAATGAAGATGTATAGTTCTCATTGGTGAGAAGCTTTAAAGGTGAAGTTACAAAAATACTGCTCACTGTTACCCTAACAGAATAAAAGCAATTTGCACTGGGGGCAGCCATTCCGATGCGGAGAGCCAATTTTTATTGGAATGCTTAAGGCACATTGCGCAACTTGCGCCATGTGGTCCAAGCACTTTTATACGGACAAAACGTTGATGATGTCGAAGGAAATGTACCCGGTAAAGAACATGCTGTGGAACATTTCCCGGAACACGTAGCTGTAATTTGTTTTATTGGAAAAGTACGTTTACAGAGCTGCAGTCAAGTTACCCAGACTATGCAGCAGTTGTATAGCCGTACCGATAGAGATGGCATCTGGTCTTTCATGTCCTTATATGCCATCTTGAATTATAACGCATCAAAAGTAAAAAACAATACAATACAGATTAAAAAACAGTTTTATTTGCAAGGAACTCTTCCGAACTATAAAAACACTCGTCTGTTAGAAATGATTTCTCCTGGCTTTTGAAACTGCTTAATGTTGGTGCCTTTTGAATATCTTCTTTTGAATTATTGAACATTTTACAGCCCTTGTAACTCAAAGATTTCTGATGTACCGCAGTACGACATAAAGGGGGTATCAGCAGATCTTTAGATACAGTTTGATAATAGTGTTCTTCTTCGTTATTGAAGACGTTCCATTTATTTTGATACACAAATATTGATAATTCATAAACGTAAATACAAGCCACTATTAAAATTCTCAAGGATCGCAAATAATCCCTGCAAGGTTCACGCCAATTAAGATTTGCAATTTTTCTGGAGAAGAAACACTATATCTGTCGATGAGCTGCATCCTCAGCCTAAAATGCCACAGCGCAAGTGACAGTTAAAGTTTGAGTAGTATAGAGTAAGTAAAATTTGTTTACTGAGGTGATAAAATTTGTACCATTAGAACTTTTACTTAGTTTATGACACATTTTCACATGTGGCTCCCAAGGTAGATGCCGATCAATGGTAACTAAAACTTAACAGAAAGAGATATTTCAATTGGTGAAACGTTATTAAAAATACTGAAAATCCGGTTATCTTTCATTGAAAATTTCATTAATTAGGTCTTGTCTGTATTTAATATAAGGCCATTATTTACCGATCATTGTTAAGCGGCTGTGCTGTTCACTATTGTGAAAAAGTTCATTGTTATTAGGACTGGTCAATGAGGTGTTAGCATCATCCGCATACGATATAATTATGCAAGTTGGAACTGCATTCGACCGATATTCATTGAAACCATTCGCATAGAGTAAAAAAAGAACAGGCCCCAGGACCGATCCTTGGGCACCTGCCTCAATAACTGTCACATCGCTACTTGCATCATTAACACAAACATATTGCTTTCTTTTTTTCAGAGGTATGATTGCAAAAGTTGTAATGGAAATGCCCGAATGGAAAGCGCATGAGAAGTCTAGGAAAAATCCACAAATATGATGTTTTGTATCAAGGTCTGTGATAACTAATCAGTAAAACTGTACACCGCACTTTCAGTACCTTTACAATTGATAAAACCATGCTGATTTTCCGAGATCACCTTTTTTTCCTTGAAAATCTACCAGTTGTCTTTTCATATCAAGCTCAAAAACCTTTGAAACACTCGAAAGCAGACTAATGCTTCTAAAATTATCATAAACATTTGGATCATTTGTTATATGGATTAGTCTAACTAATGCTAGTTTCAAAAAGCTTGGAAACTTTCCTCATCCAAAAACACATTTTTTAAGCAACTTATTTGAAACATCATCATATCCACAAGAAATCGAATTTTTTAATTGGGATACCAAATTAAAATTTTCATATACTGAAACTGATGACATATGTATGTAGGGAATTAGGGCATATATCAATATTATTATTTAGTCCGTCATTTGAAATGTCGATACTTCATTATTTTCACAGCACAGCTCGAAGCCGGCAGCCAGCCAGCAAACTATTCATGGTAGGAAACAATAACGAGTCTCTCACATGCATAAACATAAAATTTATGATTCCAGTATAATGTGCCAAAAAACCTTTACCTTGGAATTATAATCAACTGCATTCTCTCAGAAATCCAGTTTGGGCTCGCGAAGTGAGCAATTGTCAGGCTACGGTGAGTATTCGAAGAGATATCAACCCACATAAGTAAGCAATGCGAAACATGTGTCAAGAAGACTGACTAACATCTTTCGCACAAACTGGAAAACCATCTGGTGAAGCTAGCATGCATTGATATCTGCAGCTATTACTAGAATCACACTTCTCGGGCTATTCTGGTTAAAAAGAATCCGTTTGGCCAAAAAGCTTGGCTGTTTAGAAGCAGTGAAAAACTTGGAGAATAAGATCCTTAAATAAGCAATACAGCTTCCGTTAGTCCGACCACAGACGGCAAATCATGCAATAACTGTTTCATGCTATTTGGCGACCCATCAGCCTGGTCTAGGCTTGATCACACGTATGACAACGAACGAAAGCTGAGCAGCTATCCATGATCCACGATGTAACGTCTGAGAGTGAAAATAGAAAGCTGTCTGTTGGAACTATATTTCCAGTGCGCATCTGACAGCCAGGTCACTACGGTGGTCGCTAGATGCTGCTGATTCTGGTACTACAGGAGGTATGGTCTACTCGCCATTGAACAAACTAGTACCTAATATAGCTTTCGTTCATCCGACCACAGACGGCCAAACATAGGCAGCTGTTTCATGCTATTTGTAACACTTTCATAACAAGCTGTATTATTTTTGAAATTTTGTAGATGCAAAAATTAACCAGCAGATCTGAGAAGAATAGAGGTGATTCATCATAACTCATGAACTGTAGCCGTTTACATGAGATGCATAAGGCAACTTGGTTAGGTTAGGTTAGGTTTCTGGTGAGTGCATCAATAACGATCCTCCACTGCGACTCTTTGGTTTATTGTGGCTCACACCTATTTATATTTCCTCCAGTAGCTCTGATCTCCTGAGGAAGTCGATCAACTTGATTGGAGAAATATCATTCAGGTATTCTGCTTGGAGTACCATGTCTCCAAGTATGT